ATGTCATCCATTATCATAAAGGAGCTGCCAATAATCAGTATCTCAGCTGATGTGTCACTGAGTGTGGAAAATCTCAAACGTGACAGGTTGGCGGTGACCTGTGGGCTTTGAATGCTTATGACTATTCCTGCTTCGGACAGTCACCCAGCCACCCTTTCCTGGCTGCTCAGGAGATGCTGGGGGACGGCTACCACAGGCTAACTCAACATCTTCACTGATTTTTACTAGTACATTTGTGTCTACTGATAAGATATCTAATAAGAGATTCTAAGATTCCATGAGTAGTTGCACCAAGGATGAGCTATGTGTCAAACTTGGACCTGAAGAAATATCCTTCAAAAGTTCTTCAGAAAGGACTAAAGATGAGGTAACCTCATTAATCGCCAAGAACAGAAGAGGAAATATTGTTTTCAAAAAACTATCAAGCTAGCTAGCTAGCCGTCAACTGTTAACTGCCACTGTTACCAACATCCCAAAGGAGAAACCACATTAAAGAATTTATCAGAAGACAAGAAGAAAAATAAAAGGATCATTGTTGGTAACTGTTACAGCCATCAAAGGACTAGGAGTATGGGAAGAAACATATTGCCAATGTATTGGGGTAAGTTCAGCCATTTATACCAATAATCTTCAGAGTGGTTTTAGTCACCCGCTGCAGAGCCCTCCTGTCCTGGGCCATGCATATTGCATACCAGTTGGTGATGTTTCCAGTCAGTGTGCTTTCTATTGTTCCTCTGTAAAAGTTAACGCAAACTTGGCACGGGAATCTTTCCATAAAAAATATAGCCTTTTCTGAGCTTCCATTGCCAGGAACCTGAAACTGTTCAACTGCTCCACCTCAGCTCCACTGATGCAGACAGGAGTGTGTGTCTTCACCTCCCTTTTCCAAAAATAAACGTAATTAATAAAATAATCACCTCCTTAGTTTTGCTAGCTGAGCTAGCTGATTGGCACATGTTTTTAGAACACAACTAGGTATGTTAACAGGCCCAGAAGCTTTACTCATATTCTTTCTCAGCAGGACTCTTCTTACATCAGCTGTTACTACTGTCATAGCTGTAACTGACAGAGGCTGGTCCTCTGGAGGTGGAACAGACTTTACAGCTGACTTTGTTGAGGAGATCAGAGAGAGCATAAAAGATGTTCATCTGGTAATGGGGCCTCACACATGATGGGGGCGCTCCTTTTTTTGTAGCCTGACGTAGAAATTTTGTGTTGAACTTTATTAACCATATTTTATTGTATGCAAAGGTAAGACACAGAATTGTCTAAGCTGTCTATTTGTAGAATGGTCCAACTGCACTCTCTCATGACAAGTGCATCTGATGGTGACTGCAGCCACATCCTGTCTTAGAACGCTCCACAGTAACCTATAGTTCTGCTTTTCGACCTGCTGAAGAATATAAAAAGCTTATGTAGACACAACTCACACAACGTACAGACCGCTTTGTCACACGTTGTGTGAACTCTTTGCAAGGATAATAAAACATTCAAAGGACATTGGACTCTATTTCAGAATACTCACAGAACATAAAAATTCCAGAACAAGCCTGTGATGTTTTTGATGGCCTGCCACATATCTTTGGTGTTGAGGTCTCTCTCCGGTCTGTGCTTATGTCTCCGCTTCACCTCCTTGATCCCAGCTTTCAGTCTCGCTCTGGCAGTTCTGTATGTTTATTACCTGACTGAAAAAGCACCTTTTTGGCTCTGGATGGAGCCCTCACCTATCCATTCATCCAGGCTTTCTGGTTTGGGATTGATTTTATCTTAGGCTGCTTTCAGATTGCAGGCCAAGGTGACCCACATATGATTTGTCACTCATGAGAGTCAGATCAGATTTTTTACAACTGTGTGATCACTTGTGGTGACGTTTGGTCCCGCTGTTCTGGTTTCTGGTGGTTTTGTCAAAAGGTAAAAAATAATTAAGCAAAGTTAAAGGGTGCTGCTGACTGCTGCATCTGCATGCATGACCACTGCCATGGAGATTGAGAGCAAGAGAGTGCAATGAGAGTACCCTGCTAAATGTAAGATTGGAACAGCTAGGGAGAAACACAAGGAGTATATACCTTGTGGAAACCCAGAGGTCCCCTTCACTGATTAACAAAAAGAAGGAAGCAATAGCAACAACCTAATATTCTTCACTGATTCCATCTACATCTGGAGAGACACTGTGCAACAATTATGCACACGTATCCAGCGAGGGCATCGGCTCAAGATCTGTAAAGATGAACACCTTGACAAGGATGACCTTCTGCTTACCATCACATACTACAAAGTACAGGTCATGATCAGTGGCGGTTCTAGACCAATTTTATTGAGGGGGCCAGGCTGGGGCCAGTTGTGTTGTCAGAGGGGCAAAAGAGACAATGACAATTTTCAAGCTTTCAAAATGTCTTGTTTGGTATATGATGAAATGTTTTAGTATGTTTCAGTAAGGTATATTTATTTGTTTCAGTAACAGGATTTTCAGTAACTTAGTTCTAGTTTTATTAAATTACATTATACAAAAAACAAAATGGCCGACTTCGTGTTTGGTTTAGGCCATGGCTCCAAGAGGCTTTTTTGTGCATCTGGACATGGTACACGTAACACAGAAATTTCGTACACGTAGAGAAACTTAGTCCGGGGCTGCTCTGTAGGGGGTGCTAGCGAGCCATTTTGCCACGCCCACACGAAACCCATAAAATACAAAATTTTGTGCAAAGTTTGGTGAGTTTTCAAGTATGTTTCAATAGGGAGCTATTGAGGGACCTCGCACGGTTCGTGTTCGGGCCCTAATAATCCCTACAGTTTCAATAGGGACCCCGCACAGTAAAGATGCAGGGTGCAGTGTTGAAGTTGTTCAATATTGTATTACAGTCAGGTTGTTTTCTTGAAATCTGTTACAAAGGGGTCATTTCCCTCATTCATAAATGTTTGGACAAATCAGAGCCTAGTAACCACTGTGGCATCTATGTCAGCTATTGTCCAGGAAAATGATTCTGTTTAATAAATGATTCTGTAGATTACTAGATTTCCTTGATGAACACTCATTTAAGAGTAGGCTTAAGACTTTCCTCTTTGATAAAGCTTATAGTTAGGGCTGGCTCAGGTGAGTCCTCAACCATCCCTTCGTTATGCTGCTATAGGCCTAGACTGCCGGGGGATTTCCCATGATGCACTGAGCTCCTCTCTCCTCTACTTTCTCTCCCTCTGTATGCAACCTTATCCCATTATTGCATGTTACTAACACAACTTCTCCCCTTTCTGGTAGTCTTGTGCTTTCTCGTCCCTCTCCTCTCTCCTCCTATCACTTCCTGCAGGTGTTTCTGGCTCTGGAGCTGTGGAGTCTGGATCTGTGGCTGCGGGTCACCTGCTGCCCCCGTGTTCCTGCTGGACACCCTCTGCTGCAATGACTATTGTTACTAGTCCTATTGTTATTATTGTTATTATAATCATTAACATTACGATTGTTATCATTAACACTACTATAAATATCTGTACCATTTTTCATTTAGTCTATAGCAACATCACCTTTACTGTCTGTACCTCTGTGTGTATATTGTGTAGGCTGCCTCCCTCCCCTCTCTCTCCTTCCATCCCTCTCTTTTTCCCTCTGTTCTCTCTCTCCCCCTCTCTCTCTCCCTCTCTCTCCTTCACCCCAACCGGTCGAGGCAGATGGCCGCCCACCCTGAGCCATGGTTCTGCTTGAGGTTTCTGCCTCTTAAAAGGAAGTTTTTCCTTGCCTCTGTCTCCTAGTGCTGCTCTTGGTGGGAACTGTTGGGCTTCTGTAAATAGCATCATAGAGTACGGTCTAGACCTGCTCTTTTATGAAAAGCGCTGTGAGATAACTGTTGTTGTGATTTGGCGCTATATAAATAAAATTTTATTGAATTGAACTCATTCCTTGACTCATACATCATACCTCCCAAAACACAACACCACCAGCCATGTATATACCCATCACTTTTCAATTAACAAACATGCACCATAGTAAGATTTTCATTTGTTTTATTGATTTCGAGAAAGCTTTCCCTGAAGGGCTCTATAAGAGACTTCTACATCAATGCATTTGGAAAATAGGTGTACTTTTAATACTGGAGACAAATAAACTGAATTCTTCACCCACAGAAGAGGTGTTCATCAGGGCTCCAATGTAAGTCTGACTTTATTTACTAGTATATATAAATGAACTTGCTTCTGTAACATTGGACGCATCAAACCAAAACTCAAAACAAACTTAATGCTATAGTGCCCAGTGACCACAGTCTAGCCATAGAGAAAGGACAACAACAACATGTAACATAGTGAACTGCACACTATGTGACTGCATGTTGCAAACAGGGGGACACATAACAACACCACTGAATGTGACAAATACTTATCTTTTTTTAATAGTACAAGTTTATATATTATCCAAATATTTGATCTTTTTGGACTTGGATGCTTTTGACAATATTGTCAAAACGTTTATCTCTGTAATATCTAATATAGAGGGTATGTGTTGCGTTTGGTGCGATCTGAACACGAGACATATACTAGTTAACAGTGCTAAGTGGAGTGTTACAGTAGCTTGTGGGGGCAGAGTGGGGTGTGTCGCGGGGACGGGGCTTATATGCTCCGATGTGGTAGTAAATTGTTGAAACGTAGTTACGTATAATCATGCAGGTTTGTTGAAGTTCTAAGGAAGCACTGAATATCTAGCAGTATCTCTGCCATTGTATTAATGCTTTGCTATTAATGCTGTAGGTGAAATCAATGTGAGAAACACACTTTGTACAAGCATCTAAAAAGCACAGGGAAGAGTCTCGTGAACGGGCGATGCACTAGTGCTAATAAAGCCATTGAATTGTGTGTGTATGCGTATGTATGTTTGTGTGAGAGAGAGATCTGTTCAGTTCATGTGCAGCAGGAGATGCAGTACGATGAGGCGTGGTATTAACAGATATACTTGCCACATTTGGTGCAAGTGGGGAAGTTGTACAGGGCTTTCCACTGAAAAGAATATATTGAACAGTGGCTTCACGCTCAAAACTTATCCCATTTTTTAATGTCAAATTTTGCTTGTAACAGAAAGCATTTAAATAGTGTCACTTATTTAAACCCAGAACACTTTATGAATTACATTTTCTTCTTTCTTTAATTTTTTACTATTACATTTGTGTCTAGAAATATTTCCAAAGGCTCTAATTAATTAGTTAATAAATTATTACTGATAATTTTGTTATCGTCACTACAAACTAGCGGGTTCCTTTTTATGCTTTTCAAAACCAAAGCATATAATTACACTACATGGCACTTAAGCTCTTTATCATATAATACATCATTTCTACTAAAACAAGCAAATCCTCTCTTTGTGCAAAGGTTCCTGCTCTTCACTTTGCATTTCAAATTAGTCCATACATTACATTTCTAGTACTACAACCATAAGACCACTAAACCACATATGTGCATGCTACATGAGAAAAAACACATTAAGAGAGATCTCTGAGCTTAGTTCTACTCCACAGGGCTTGTGAAAAAGGTTGTCGTGCACCAATTCATCCAACAGTTTAGCTGGCAGAGGGGTGCATGCAGATGTTTTTTTCTCCTTTAAACGTGCCTGAGCCTTCTGTAGAGGATAACTGCTGCAGCTAGAATCACAATGACGGCTGGAATGAGGATGCCCACAGCTATCCCGATACCCATCTTGGAGTCACTGCTGGATACAGCTGCTTACAACACAACCAGGATACAAACATCACACATCAATTAATTCATCACACCTTGACTCACATAGCATCATCTGCACACGTTCAGACAGAAACAACAATGAAGCAATCATGGGACAACTGATGGTCAAATGACTAACTAACTTCCACAGAATAAATGAAACATTTACATTCCTCTTAGAATTAAAATGTTTCATTACTTGGTGAACTAATAGGAAATACATTACAGGGAATTAAACAATATTATACCTTCCTCCTTAGATGCCAATGCTGAAAGAAAAAGATGCAAGGAGAAAATCAATTACTATGGTCATGTCTGAGCTATGAAAAAAACACTAATTGGGCCTGCAGTGTTCTATATATTCAAACTGGAGGTAGGCTTACTATTGTACAACATACATATGTAAAGAGAGCTAGGAAAGAATGTAAATTGCTTTTTGGAAAAACCAATGACAGAGGTTCCTATGCCAAAGCCTCTATGCAGATTGCTTTTAATTATAACAATGTATTACTTAAAAGTTAGTAAGCTATCTTATGATGACTTTCATAACATCACCTTGTAAACATTAGACTTACAGCAGCTTTGTAACCACATCACATTAACACCTAAACAGAACACCAGTTCTGTACTATTCTTTTCTTTTTCTTTTAATTTTGTAGATGCCTTGTACTCAGCGTTCAGTCCAGTGCTACCAAACAGCCATACTCACAATTCTCATTTCTGGTGACAATGGGAATTGAGGAGAGAGTGGTTGAATCTGAAAGACCTTTGGAAAGGGCTTCCCTTTTCCTCCTTTTGCTACATTGCTGTAGATGAAGAAAGAAGGAATGTAACTGATAAGTGAAGAATTCCACCATTAAGGTGAGAAATGGGCTTAATGATTTTTTCATTGCTGATCCTTAACTAACCTTAAAGGTACTGCAGGTGCTGATATCACAGAGTCTGGTAATACAGTGCAGGTAGTAGGTGGACGTCGTCTGGTTCTGCTGTTCAATGAACCTGAAGGCTGGGAAGGAGAAGCGTGCATGGTGACTTTCTCCGTTCTGCTGCATGATAGTCATCTGGTCCTTAGAGCACCTGTTTGATATCAAGAAAGAAACTGTGTTGGCCTAACATGGACATTGATTGTCTCCAGGAATGAGAACCAGAATGAGATTTATGGACTTACGAGACAAACAGGTTGAAGAAAGTGGAGTTGGTGGGATAAGGAGAGATAGAAGCGTAGCATCTGTCCAGGAGGACATTGTACCTGGTGGGGGAAGAACAATGGGCTTCAGAAGTGTTGGTAAAATACTAAAAGAATCTGTTGAAATTTGTTATGTCTGTAGTTCTTCTTGGAGAGAAGACCGGAGTCAGGAGGTTGATGCTCTTACTGATTGGTCAGGTTGATTGCTTGGACCTGGACATAGATGTTGGTCTTCAGCTCTAAGCCCAGTGGTGGTATGATTAGAGGAGCAGTGTAGTTGACATCCTGTCAACAGAAATGTGTAGTCTGTTAGCTGTATGTTTGTTACTATCCACATTTTACATAGTTCATTTGGGAAGCTTGTTTGTCTTTGTTGGCTCTGGTTTGTATCATTAGATTTCGTGTTGGCTGTGTTTTAATGCAGAATTGAGTAGATTTTTAACAGATATTTGATATATTTCTCAGATGATAAAAACAAACAAACTTTGTGGTGTGCTGCTCAAAACTTAAATTACTGTCGAACCAGACGTCAAAATTCCTTGTGACAAAGTTTAATGTGTTCCAATAGAGAACCAGCAGATGGCAGAATTTGTTTAGCCATGTGCTGGGACCCAATGACAAGGATATCTGTTTTGTTTGAATTCAGCTAGAAAAAATTCAGTTTCAATCAGTTTGTGACACCACAAAGGCAATCATTAAGTGAGCTCATCATTTTAGGGCCTGTAGGCAGACGTGTTCACACAGTGTTTTGTACTATACACTGTACTATGGTTAAGACATAGTGACAGTTTTAGAAATATGACAAAAAGTGATAGTCCAGGATCGATATTTTGCTGGTCATATGGAAGGCCTGGGGAGATTTCCACCATGTTTACCCTCACGAGTAATAGTCCATGGCTGCTTCTGGCTAGGAGTGGAGCTCTATCATCGTCCTTTCATCTGCAGCCTGGGAAGCAAGGAAATATCTGCTGATGGCTAGCTAGCTCCCATGCTAAAAACAAGCTGGATTCTGCTAGCAGCAAATCCAGTTGTGGCAGGCTATACTAACCAGCAGACTTAAAACTGAAAACCTATTATACTATGTTAAAACAGATACAACTCAGGGGTTTTCCTGGCTCAGACTGGGCCTTTGGTTTATGACCACGCACGAGTATGCATGTGTAAAATAAAGCGTCTGTGAGGAGGAGAGATGACTGCTGAAAGTTGTATTTAAGTTTATGTTCTGCGTGCTCGGTAGTTGTTTGATAAATAACTTAAAACACATTCAGAGAGTTTTTAAAATGCTATTTTTTTCCTTCCAATTCTTAGCATTTTAGCACTGGAGATTTTCCTTTCCTTTTCCTGGGGGGTGCCAAAAAGATTTCTTTGGATGAAAAACCCTGCAACTGGATAAAAATGACAATTTTTAAACAGAAAATGCACTCTTTTATTGAACCACAACTACAAAGTATTTTCACTGTTCCAATAATCACCAACTCTGATATGGTGAAAATAAACCCTTAATTCAGTTAAACGTAAAAATATTCTGGCTCTACATGCTTTTGCTTTCCTCTTTCTCACTCCTGTCCTGTTCTCGCCTGAACCTGCTGAACCTGTGTCTTCATTGTCCCTGGAGTCAGAGATCACCCCGGTACTGTATTCGCTGTAGTCAAACTGGAGAGCTAATAGGATCACTAATTTAGCTGCCCAGCTAACTGAGCTAACTAGCCAACAGCAGTTAGCAGATGTTCTGACCTGATATGTGATATGCTGCCCCCATAGAACCTTTAATGTCTGTAACAAAACTCACTGGATCCTGTATAATGACATAATGTAAATAAATTAACCTAACTAAATGTTGACATAACCAATTACACAAAGTTACGATAAATAGAAAATGACAACAACAAAACAGCAGTGTGACTGACTTCACAGCATAAAACATCAACTTACACTGAAGAGGCTCATGCTCAAAGTACTGATGAAGCTTCCATTGTTGTCTGTCACGGCAATGGAAGATCCTGACCTGAATGGGATCAGGCATGATGTCAGAAACAGGGAGTAGTTGGCCTGATGAAACATGTCTGACATCCTACATGTTACTTTTCAGCAGCAACAGAGGAGAATAAGCTAACATACTTTAACAGCCAGTCTTATTTTCTGTTTAGTTAATTTTATATACATAGTTGATTATACATAGCACCAATTCATAACAAAAGCTATCTCTGTGCACTTTTCATATAGAATAGGTCTAGACTGTTCTTTTAATAATATTATATTTTCTCAGAGACTCACCACAGGCAATTACCACATAATGGATTACAATTGTTTTAGTGACTACAGTGACACTTAAAAGGATAGTTTGGCTTTTGAAGAATTGTTTAACTACTATTTAATATGCCTAGGGCCAAACACATTCTAACGGTTTGGTTTGTTAATGTTTCATGGTGATCTGTTAGTTTAGCAGCTTCTCTCAAAAGCAGAGAAATACAGCTTCTACAAAGGTTTTATTTCTTTCCATGTTTAAAATGAGTGTTAATGTTTTATTCTTAATAAATACAGAAGAAAGTATAATTCCTAAGAAATTATACATATTTATTTGTCTGCTACTACTGTGTGCTGCCGTGTATACATGTAAACAAAAACAGGATTAGAGTTTTGTTACATCTAATTTATCTTATCTTATTTCTTTGCAGATAGTGACATAAGATACTTCCTAAATTGAATTGGAGTGTGGATTTCACTGTAAGGAGATTTGCCTTGTCATACAGACATCCAGGCATTGAGCCAAGCTAGCTTGAGCCAAAACATGATTTTAAACTACACTCAACGAGGAAAATGGCATTCAGGACTTTGCCTGACTCTAATTAGGTAAAATTGTATAATGCCTCAAAAACCAAACTATCCCAAAATAAAGCCAAACTGCCATAGAATACATACCATCAGAATGGTACAGTAAACATCTGAAATAAAGTAATAGGAGGGATACAAGTAGAGATCTTACACTTCCACCTGGGTGTTGTTGATGAGATACTCCAGAGGGTAAGCACAGGAATAATAATATTTGAGCCAAGTGTTATAGGTGACTACCCCTGTGGTTGGATCATTGGAGTGCACCACACCACTGATGTTAACTGTCTGGATGTTGGAAAAGTCAGCAAAGACCCCTGTGCCAGATGAAGTGGTGGTCTGTAGGCAACATGTACAGTAGTCAAGGACAGAGAAAAAGGGGATACTTTGAGAAAGCATGGATTCTCTATAATTTTACTCCTCCTCCAACTTCTACTAACCACGAAGGTACTGCCACAAGCGTTGGTAATGTTGAGGGGGAAGGTGAACCTGAGAACAGGTGGGGTGGCCGTTTCATCCAAGGTTCCTTTACACTCTGGATTCTGGAATCTGTGATTTAGGATTAGTAGAGACTCGTTGTAGCCACTGTAGACAGCAGGGCAGATCTGGATAGCCAGGCTTATTGAAGATGTGCCACATTCAACTGAGATGTCAGTGTATTCTATAAGAGAACATCAGAAAGCATTTTCTGCACTTGTCACTTGAAATCTTATTTATACAAAAACAAAATTTTATGTCTGGAAGGAAAGAAAACATAAAGTCCTGGAATTATGTGTTCTTTCAATTTGCCTGCTTTGCTATTTACAACTGTGTGTCAAAATTCCATTCTTTAGAGATCCTGAGGTCACACATACACAAATGCCTTTTCAGAACCTGCCTAGAAAGTTGAAAAGTAACATAAACATATCAGAAACGTACCTGGACGTCGCAAGTAATTTTGGCAGTTTAACTGACTACTTTTGGCCACCATGGATGCCAAGAAGAGAAAGCTAAGAAGGTTAATTTTTTTCATCCTTGGTATGGTCATATCTGTAATAGCAAAAGATAATAATGCATCAAGCAACAGTTTCTGTAGATGATATTGTTGTTACCTTACTTGGCACCCACCTTAACAGTCCCACTGCTGCTGTCCTCTTTCTCCGTCTTTGTAGTGCTTTGAACAATGTATACAGTTATTGGACATTCTTATATAGCTGAGAGTCTTTCTTAGGATTGGACAGAAATAAGGTCAGTGTTGTTTGGTGTGTCCACCTTAACTTCATTGTATGGGAACCATTCTTTTGTACAGGGAGTTCCATGGACCATACCTTAAGGGTGATTAGTGAAACCCTACACAGCGAGAGTCACCAGAAACAATGGTTTAGGTTTCTTTAAAATTCAGATTCTTTTAGAATGCTAACATGAGACTTCTTGAAGTAAATGTTATGTCCCTGAGGATAATACTTTGATGCCCTTTTTAGTTGATGGTCTATGTATCATCAATGACGGCAATATCATGTCCCAAAGATGATCCCAAAGGTTCAATGTCCCTAAGGACACCGCGGGTACTGCACTTAGGTAGGACAAGTACTTGGTCGGAAGAATGGTTTAGCTGCCAAGTGAGAATGACACAAAGCAGTTTGAACAAACACACAAAACAGACAAGTAAAGCCGATGTCTGTTTTTCTGTTTTCTCTTTTTTTTGATTATTCCGTTTTAAAACCAAAACGGAATAATCAAAAATGAACAATACATGGATTTAAAACACAGGCTGTATTAGGTATGCTGTCCGCCACTGTTTGCTTTTCCAACCAGTCAAACTAAGTAAGCAGGGCCTTTTAACAAGGGTTTTCTGAGTGGTGTAATGCATGTTGAACAATTCTGCTACTGCGTACATTGTGGGTAATACATTGAGGTTGCGTGTCGACTCGTGTCGACTCATTTCTGTTTCTGGTGCCTGTGTGTTGGTACCGTGTTGTGCTGCTCTCGCTAAATAACAGTTACATTTGTTTGATTACAGCGGCCAACTGTCCGCTAAACACTTATTCTTTACAGTAATTTTGCCTAAGCACTCACAGTTCTTTCCATCTTTTAGTGACTGCTGTTCAATCTCATATTTGTTCAAAAGTTTTGGTAGCTGACGCTACAGTACTTTAGCTTAGCCGTTAGCGACTTTAGCTTAGCAGCTAGCGATGGCTTCTCCTTCTCCCTCTCTCTCTCCCACTTTCTCCTGCTCGGTGTGTCAGATGTTCAGTTACTCCTCTGCCTCCTTTAGCGGTAATGGTACATGTAATAAGTGTAGTTTATTTATAGACATGGAGGCGAGGCTGATTTAGAAGTCCGGCTCCGCACCTTGGTAGATCAGTCTTTAGCTACTGTAGCTAGCCAGTCCCCGGTAGTCGGTGCGGAATGGCCTGAGTTAGCCTCTGGTAGCCGTCCCCTGGGATTTCCTGAGCAGCCAGGAAAAGGGGGGTGGCTGGGTGACTGTCCGAAGGAGGAACAGTCGTAAGCATTCAAAGTCCACGGGGCACCATCAACCTGTTCACGTCTCTAACAGATTTTTCCCACTCAGCGACACACCCGCTGAGAAACCAACTCTGATCACTGGCAGCTCCATTTTGAGAAACGTAAAGTTAGCGAAGCCAGCGGCCATAGTTAAGTGCATCCCTGGGGCCAGAGCGGGCGACATTGAGTCTTATTTGAAACTGCTGGCTAAGGATAAATGTAAATACAGTAAGATTGTTATTCACGTTGGCGGTAATGACTCCCGGTTACGCCAATCGGAGGTCACTAAGATTAATGTTGAGTCGGTGTGTACATATGCAAAAACAATGTCGGACACCGTAGTTTTCTCTGGACCCCTGCCAAATCTGACCAGTGATGACATGTATAGCCGCATGTCGTCATTCCGCCGCTGGTTGTCGAGGTGGTGTCCAGCAAACGATGTGGGCTTTGTTGATCATTGGCAGACTTTCTGGGGAAGACCTGGTCTGATCCGGAGAGACGGCATCCATCCCACTTGGGAAGGAGCAACTCTCATTTCTAGAAATCTGGCCAAGTTTATTAGTGGACCAAATCCATGACAACCCAGAGTTGAGACCAGGAGGCAGAGTCGCAGTTTAACACACTTCTCTGCCCTCGTTTTTCAGCAGTTACCCACCCAAAACCCTACGCAGAGTCGCAGTCTAACACACTTCTCTGCTCCTCCATTTCAGGAGTTACTTAGTGAAAATCCTATAGTGACGGTGTCTGCCCCCCGACCATTGAAATTATTTAAAAAGGTAAACAGAAGAGGAGCTGTGCATAAAAACGTCAGATCAAAATTAAAACCACAAGAGCAATAGTGCAAATGAATAGGAGAGTTAAATGTGGACTCTTAAACATCAGATCTCTCTCTTCTAAAGCTGTACTAGTAAATGAACTAATATCAGATTATGATATTGATATCCAACGAAGGTTAAAATCAAGGGCAACTGGACTTGGTTGAAGATACTGGAAGACGTTTCGTCCCTCATCAAAAGGACTTCTTCAGTTCTGCCTGACTGGCAGGGAAACTCAGCTATTTAACCTCAGTGGGGTCGTTGGCCCGGGTCATCGATACCGCTGGTTCTTGTTGCTGTGACGACAGTCGTTACAGTCGTTAAGACTACCTGTGGCCAAGACTGAACGACCATCGTTGGTATCTTCACCTGAGGCCAATAGGTTACGTTTGTTGAGTTTCCTGGGAAGTGATGAAAGGACAGCATTGTAAGTGGGGGATAAGTGGTGGCGTAGACCCCCTCCCCTGTTCAATGACGGCTTCTCCACCCTGGTGTAGATGGCTTCCTTGACACCTCTTTCAAACCATCCATCTTCTCTGTCTAAAATGTGCACCTGGTGGTCCTCAAACGAGTGTCCTCTGTCCTTCAAATGTAAGTAGACTGCAGAGTCTTGACCTGAGGAGTTGGCCCTTCTGTGTTGAGCCATGCGTTTGTGTCGTGGTTGTTTAGTCTCCCCAATATAGAGGTCTGTGCATTCCTCACTGCATTGGACCGCATACACTAGATTGCTTTTCTTGTGTTTGGGTGTGCGGTCTTTGGGGTGTACCAGCATCTGTCTTAGTGTGTTCTTGGGTTTAAAAAAACAAAAACAAATCTATGATCACTGACCATGTGCAGATTGGTGTTTACAGAAAACCCACACACACAGACCAATACCTACTCTTCACTCTCTCACACTAAGACAGATGCTTGGCGCTATATAAATAAAATTGAATTGAATTGAATGTGTGGAAAGTAATGGATTTAGGCTACATCCACGCTACTGCGTGTCTTTGTCTTTTTTTTTTTAATTCAGTACATTTCTGCCTCCCATCTAGACTAAAACGGCAAATCCGAACACCTTAAATGGATGGAAGTTGGAAGTTTTGTTTTTTTAAACGATGACGCAGACACTCACATATGGCTTGTCATATATGACATATAAGACATATATGACCGATCTGATTTCTGTTTACACCGGCACGTGCTTGCCCAGTGTATTGAATTGTCATTTGATGTGCGTTTTCAGTTGTTTTAATATAGATGGAAATCAACTCTAAAATGCAGCTAAAACACTGGTGTGGATGGAGATTGTTTTTGTTTTAAAACTTAGAAGTGTGGATGTAGTCTTAGCTTGACAGAAGCTGTTAATTCCTACAATCTGTCATAAAGCAGTTCTCAAAATGCAAAAGTCATTGAGTGTTGTCCTCTTAACATAGAAAAGAAAATATTCTTTAATTTGGTGGTGCTGTTACCTTACTTGACTACCAATGCAACACACAATCTTTAAAACCGCTCACTTACTTTTGCCGTTTTTGCCATTTTCAGTCCAAAAATCAGCTGATTTGTTGGTAGAAATATCGCTGGGTGCCATCTTGATTATTGTGCAATACCTGGGAGCTCCAGGGTATTAAATGAATGGTCTGCTGAATCCGGATCGATCCGAAGTTACACGCCTGTGTGCTTTTGGTCACAGGAATGTTTTTATCAATATTTCAATGTTTTGGAAGCTTTATGTTATTTGGAACATGGTTGTAAGGACAGAAAGTCAGTTGGTAGTGTTTTAAAGATAACTTCCCATAAAAGTCAACATTTGAACAGTAAATATTGCCAAAATATGGACATTCGCCTGGTATATTTTGTTTTTTGAAAATTTTGAAAATACTGTATGATAACTGTTGTTTTTTTTTCATCAGATTTACAGTTACAATTGCATTCCAGGTGTATTATAAGATATTCAATTGTGTTATATCTGATGATGGTTTTGATGGTTTATTGCATTAAAAATATAGCTTTTTTACCAGGCGAGGATGAAAATATATTTTTCTTTATTGCATCTCCAATTAGTCTGTAATGGTAAAATAAATATGTTAATTTGGATTTAATGGATTTATATTCCTTAGCTTCTGACCTTTCAAAGGAGACCAGAATTATGCATCTAGGCCAAATGGTTGAGTAGTTATTCTTGATTCATTTTGGGTATGTTATTTTAGGCGTTTTTAGGGTTATAGGGTTAAATAGCTGGAAGTTTCCAACAATAACACAAGGGTGTAAAAAGTTGGAAAACCAGGCATGTCGAGGTGCTTACAAACCAAATTTCCGAGATCAGATGAATTTTACAACAACAGATTTTACTGCAACCTGGCAACATGTTCAGAATTATGGTAGGATGCAGAATAGTAGTTGACTGTAGTTTTACAATGACAGTGGAGGTGTGGCAATGGTCAGGGCTGATAATAGGGGAAAGACAGCAGAGAGGGCAGCAGTAGTAAATAAAATGTCTATATGCTTAGTATACGTAAGACGTAATCTGCACTCTGCGCATGCGTTGACGTCTGTAGCCACGTGTCGGAAGCTCCGTCTTAAACCGGACTCTTATCCAGTTTTAATCCACTCTTTTTCGTTACATTTTTTATATCCTTTTTATTTAACTTAACTTTATTTAAGTTTTACGTGGGTTAAGGATTTTAGT